CAATCTCTGATATTAAAGAAAACTTGGCTTTCACAAGCACTTTCAACAACAAGTAGTTACAGTGATAATAGAGACATGCTCACTGGGTGCTAGTAGGCGCAGGCAGCTTAGGACTGATGAGGTCTGATCTCTCCCTCTTGATACCTCTGCTCACTAGGAGAACTACTTATCCACGTTTCCAAATTTTTTTTTAGAAGTGACTTTTTATTTTCTCAGTATGCCTTATCAGACATTAAAAGCAAAGACAATTGCGTAGCCTGCAAGGTTGTAAGATTTGCATCTGAAACAAGCAGAACAGTAGAAATCATCCCCGAAGACATAAATCTACTCCCAGCAGGATGGTGGCCCACAGTGACGGAATGTTTGACCCTGAGTGGCTTTTTCTCCTGACCTCTCCTAGGCTCTGCATACAGGAGATCACAAACATTTTTCTGATGTAACCCTTCGTCCCATTCTGAGGAATGATGAAGCCACAAAGGAAGCAAGCAATCCTCCAGCTTCCTCCCAGCACCCCAAGCAACAATGCTAGAAATCATTCACACCAGTGAGTCAAGCTGGATCATGGGCCCTTGGAGGAAAACCACACAGTGTTTCCAGTTGGGGGGAAAGGAAGAGCAGAAAGATGGATCACAAGTCCTCAGTAGGTACTGCAGCTGCTCACAGAACACTGCTGTCTGCTTCACATCAGGTATCTCACATCACTGCACCTGTGGGCCATAATCTGTAGGTCACATGAGCTCCAGGTAAGCCACATCCTCTTCATTCTGGAAGAGATCTGGCTCACACTGACCCAAAGCAGGGGGAAATCCAGCTCTTTCTCCCATGGAGCCACAAAGTATTCATACTAGAACAAAGATCCTAGCGGTCCATAACACATCTGGATCTTCCTCATCAATGCTAGTTGTCACATAACCAGTGGGCTGCAATGAAGAAAGAAGCCAAGAAAAGTCCGAGCCACCCCTGAGTGTAAGCAGTCAGCAGAAGCAACAAGACATAGGGAAGAGTCAGACCCTAACAACACATGTTCTTTCCTCAGACTTCACTGACATTTTACAGCAGACCACTGGTGACACATGCTTTCCTGGGAGCAGCATTGAAACCCAGTGCAGCAGAACACAACCCTTTACAGCTCAGCAATGCCCAACGAGTTTAGTATCCAAGCCATACAGCAGGACTCCTATAAGAGCCCGTCATGAGCCATTCAGAAGTGACATTAGGAAATAATTACACTGCTGAGAACTGGGACCACATGCAGGCAATGCAGATGACTAAAATCAGCAATGCACCTCACTCATTTGACTGGAAAGAGACAGCAAGGCTACTTCTAAAGCAAGAGTATTGTGTGCTTTTTTTTTTTTTTTTTAAAGCCTTCCCTCTATGCTTTACAAGCCTGAAAAACACAAAGCCCAACTGCAAATGGAGTAGAGCAGTGTTGAAAGAGGAAATCCGTGCTGATGAACATATCCCTGCCCTCAGAATAACACAGGCACACTCAGAGACCTCAGGCATATAAATGTCTAGCAAGACACACACATCAGTAACTACTCAATCCTTTGGGGAAGAGCAAATGGTTGGGAAGGGGAGAGGATAATTCTGTTCGTTTGGCTTCTAATGAACATTACCATTACCCAGATGCTGTGAAACTGTGAACAGGTGAAGGTGTTAAGCTGTTCTCACTTTGCTGAGTGCAGGATCAAGCACATCTGCTAGGCAGAGCCTCCCTGCAGGGCTCCCTAAGAAGGCAGACAGATGGGTAACTGGTAAATTAACTGTCTGGAGATAACCTGGAAGCAGAGAGGGGAGCATGTTTTCTTTAAGCTTTTCTACGAATGGTTAAAGGAGGGAAGAATCAACAATGGGTCTTTTTAGAGAAACCACTGTTGTTTTGGGATCATTTCATGTTTAATTCAGATTATAAGCTAGCGAAGCAACCCCATAAACAGACCCTCTGCAACTGAGAGAAGAGATTGAGATTGTTTACAGAGTAGCAAGAGACAGGAAAGAGACTAGGATTTTGTTACCAACTTTTTTGCTTCAGAATGGCTAACTGACACCATCAGCCATTCACAAGTGTCCTAATTCACCCATCTTCAGCACAGCATAGCTCAGCCAATGGGTGACCTCTGTAGCACCAGGGGTCTTTCAAAACCCAGACTTGACCTTCCTGACATTGTTCTCGTAAAAGGAAAAGGGGAAAGCACAGATTTAGCATTTTTACAGTATTACCATCAAGCACAAATTAATTCTTAAAATACCACTGGTACAGAGAAAGAATAGGAAATGAATTCAGAAAACCAAAAGTTCTAAGAGCAGTAGTAGCTTATATTGGGATACACCATACAAGAGGTGTGCAATTATTCATCCAGCCCTCTCTTTATCCTTCCACATCCTGCTGTCCAGGGCCACCAGCTGAGCAGGTATCCTTGTGCTCCTCCACTGCTGACAAGAATGCAAAGGGAGGCATGGCAGACTCCTTCCCCAGCAGTGATTTCCTATGGGCATGAGTGGCTGGGTTCATATCAAATAGCACTGGATCTAAGATCTTAATCTCTTCCCATGCACAGAGCCCTACAAATCTTCCAGCGAGGTATTAATCTCTTTAGAAGTTTCACATGGAGGGAGCACAGCAAAGGATATACAAAGCCACCTTCTTGTTTTATTTCTTGAGTTAAGGCCACAAAAGCTGTGCTATTGTGAAAGACATCTGCTCCAGGGCATGATTTCTTCTAGGCAAAGCACGCTCAGGCTTATATGCCACTCACATTTAGCGCTCTCCATATGCCCTCAATGCTTAGAAACCTGTCTTCATCTCACCAGACTCCACCATGGCCCTGAGAGATCACAATTAAAAGGAGTTCAAGCTAAAATGCCTGAAATACTGACATCACCATCCACCAGAGAATCATTCAGCTGATGCCAAATGCATCGCGTGGCCTTAAGGCATGGCATGAAAGTGCTTAGGGATGTTGGAAGCAGAAGGGCTTTCTGATATTACAGAACCAAAATACAGCTAAGAGCACCAAGCTTTGAACTGTCCAAAATACACACAGGCAATGGGCAGAATCCCAAGCCACATTTATGTTCATTTTGGAAGAAAATAGTTGTTTCGTGCTGAAAGAGCACAGAACCAAACCAGTAGTGACCAATGGATTGGATCCAGTGAGTTAAATTCTTTGACAGAGCAAGTTCACCCTGAGTGAAGTACTCCAGTCAAAGCCAGATGAACGGCTGCAGCACATTCATCTGCAGCAAACTGTAATCTAGGAAACAAAGCAGCCGCCAAGACTGTTGGACCTATGGGTTAATTCACTCATCTCAAGTAAAGAGATTCACAAGGACATGGATCATTTTTAATTGAATTATTCCAGAGCTTGTTTGCTAAGAAGATTCATTGTGCTGAATGCTGTTCAGCCACAGACTAAGGGTTACTCAGATGAAAAGCACATACTACGCTATTTGCACAACAAACCATTTAGTTTTTTTTTTTGTTTGTTTTTGGTTTTTTTGGTCAAGAACAGACAAGAACATGGAACTGTACTGAAAAAGACAATATTAGAAACAGCATACAGAAAGCAGGATAAAGGGGCAGGAAATAGATTCCCTACTAGAAGTACTGCATAGAGCTGTCTGTAAGAGTTCAGGTTGCTGTTAAAACGCAGTGACAACAGTCATCAAGGAAACACAGAAACATTCCTGCAGGAAAACAAGGGAAATATTTTCTTCCACGCCAGTAAATAGAAGACATAAATCCTTTTTCTCCAGTTATTTTCCAACAGAGAAGAAATTAACTTTCATTTCTCCTAGTGCTTGGGAATGTATTGTTCCCAGTCCTTTTGTATAACTTGCTACTTGGCAGTCTTACATCTCTAGAGGCTTCACAGCCTCTGGTGCCAAATCGCAGTCACCTTTCAGGTGAGATAACAGACTGCAGCGGCATCAGCCACAGCTCAGTGACAATCTGCAAAAGCAAAAGCAGCCTTTCCTGCCTGGAAAGCAGTAAATGAGCAGTAGGCTAAAGACCCGGTCCAGCTGGCACACTGGGAACAGACCAGGAGCTCTCACTCTTATGAATGGAGCACAAGATGTTTAATTGGAAAGCTGAAGCTCTGATGTGCTGTGTATCCACAGCTCAGCATCTCTCAGCAACATAGTGCCCTCTAGCCTTAACCTGGGTTGCAGCTTAAGCCTAGAGGAAGACACTCAGCGATGTGAAACACTGATACAAAACTTCACATCCAATCTTCAGCCTTATCTTTCATGCACCCAATACAAATGCCCACCAGTTCCAAAAAAGTCCGGCAGACACGCAGTGCCAGGAAACACAGCGCACTCAGAGCAGTTCCACACCACAGGCTGCAGCCCTCGGGCTTCTCCTCACCAAATCGGGATGATTTACCTTCTGTATACAGAAAATCCGTGCATTTAAACACAGGCTGTATTTTGAGAAGAAACTTAAAGGACCACGCGCAGCTAAAACCCAGGAGAATCAGAGCCAGGGAATGAAGATATATTTCCTAACTATGCAGATGGGCCAAATCTACTCCGCTGTTTGCTGCGAACTCCCGCAGGCAAAGCCACCTCCGCACGACGTCCCGCAGCCCGGGAAGGTCGTCAGAAATCTGCCTGCGCTGCTCCGTTAGCAGCAAGGTGTGAAAAGAGGAAGGCGACGGAGATGAAAGGGAACCCGAACGCCGAGTCCGCCTCGAGAACCGCGCGAGCCTCCTCTCCGTCCCTCAGAAAAAGTCTGCTGCAACTGCACGAGAGAAAACGAGCAAAGCCCGCTCAGCACCGGCCGGCTGACCCCGCAGAGCTCGCAACGCTCCCCATCGCCGCGCCGGGACGGAGACGAGCCGGGGAGCCGCGAAACGCGCCCCACCGCGGGTTCTGCATTTCACCTCCCGAAGGGAAGACAACTCGCGAAGGGTAACGGCACCGCTCCGCTCCCGCCGCACACGTGCATCGCCCGCCCGCGGAGAGCGCGGGGCCCCGCCGCCACTCACGTAGTGCTTCGAGGGGTTCCTCCTCTTCTCCACGTCCACCACGTTGGCGTCCAGCACGCTGTAGGACAGCATCTTCGCGCACCCCGCGGCTCCCTCGCGGCGCTGGCAGCACCCTCCGCCGCGCTGCCCGCCGCGGCGATGCCGGCCGGCGCGGCGGGCGGGAGCGAAGGAGGACGCCTCGCCGCCGGCTCCGCCCCGTCCGCGGCGGCGGCTCTCCCCGCTCCCGGAGGCGGCCCGGCCCCGCGCCCGCGCCCTGCCCGCAGCCTCCGGCTCAGCGGCGGCGGGAGGGCGAGGCCCGACCCCGCCTCGAGGCGGCCCCGGGGAGAAGGGGCGCGAGGGGAGCGGGAGCCGCCGCCCCGTGCGGCGGGGGGCGCGGCCTGCCCTGAGATGGCGGCCCCTCGCGCCCTGCTGGCGGCCGGAGCCGCTGCCTGAGGCTGAGGAGGGATGCGGCGGAGCGGGTCCCGGGGCCCCCCTCACCGCAGCGAGTAGCCGAAATTCGGTCGGCCGAGTCCTCAGCGCGGCGGGGCCGGTGCCCCGGGGAGGGAGGCTGCACGACCTCCGCCCGGGCTGCTGAGGGATCGGACTTGGAGGAATGCTACTATCTGCCGGGGAGGGCTTTTAGCGATAGACCTACTTCAGCTCTTCCCACACACGTGCAAAAGGAGCTTCATCTTTCCCTCGTCATGCTACATGGAGAGCTAGCCCCAGAAGTTTCACGTGCTTCACGAATCATCATTACTTTCCATGTGATTATTCTGGAGGCGCTTAGCACTGAAAAGGGAACTGGGGTGTGATCTCCCAGCCAGCAGCTCACTTCATGAATCGATATTTGCCAAACTAACTGAGTTCACCAAGATCTCTGTATTCTCCACCAAACGAAGCCTCCTCAACAGCAGCACAAGCAGATTCCCCAGTAAGCTCCCACAGCGCTGCTGACAGCTACAGACCTACAAGCCTAGCAGCGTAGAAAGGTCCCGGCTCCTGGCAAAAGGATGTTGCCTTTTACAACAAAAGAAGGGTCACCCTCAGTGGGGTTTCACCATACACACTATAAGCACATTTTCTGAATCACAGCTTCTGTGCTGCTGTAATGCAGCAGAAAGCACAGCAATGAGAGCTCAGCAGCTAGGTCCTAAGCAGCAGCAAGTGAGGATACGCTCAAACACAACAGCTATAGACACAGAAACAAAGGAAAGAATCTACTTACCTTTAGAAGACCACAGGTATGCAGGGATCTCCAGAGAGATTCTCTCGTTTTCAACTGCCAACCCTTAAATAAGGTCAGGGAAGGGTCGGATCCTGGCTCCACCCCTTCCAGTCACCCAGGATCATTGCTTGCACCTGTTGCTTGCACCTGTGCTCCCCTGGGTTGGCCCTGCCCTCCCACCAGGTGCTCAATCACTGCTTCGTGATTCAGCATTTTCACTACAGCTGTGTTATTAGCTCTCTTAGCCATTGTAAAGCATGCACTGAAATTACAAAGCCACCAACAGCTGAGCTTGAAGACTGATGTCTGAGAGTGAGAAGTTGGTAGCTAGATGCCACTAGCAGTTTAAGAAGTTGAAAAGAAGAAAAATGGAAGCAACGCCATAGCATAACTACCTGCTGCATAACATTGTCCTTCCAGTACATGGTGGGAGATGCTCTGACCCTTCTCCTGCCACACACAGTTCACCAAAACTAGAGCTGATAGAAAATGCTCATGTCCTGGCATCCCATCCTGAGATGTGTGCTAATGCGAGATTGCCTTCTGGTAAACAGGTAGCTGGTAGAGGGGAGATGTTCTCACCTCTGCCATCACTTTTTTCCTTCAGTGCACTCCCTGCTCTTCTTGGAAGGACATCCCACCTTAATCTGCTTGCATGACACAAGGCAGTAGAGAAATTATTTATATTAGAAACCCTTACTGTTTAGACTGGCCAAGAAGTCCCTGGTGTGCAAAGCAAACAAAGAAAATTCTTCCCTGCAAATGTAAATATTCAAATAACCCATTGATAAAAATATGCTCAGCATGGCTGGTCTTTGGGGTCTTGGATACCTCTTTCCTGTGAGCCATTATCAATATACATTACACATTCCATCCTCTTCTATCACTCTGTCCAGAAAAGAATAAAGGGTTCCCCACATCGTTTAAAACACTCAGGGTTTGTTTTAAATCAGCTTTCAAAACATTTCATTGTGAGGGAAAAAGAAAACATACATAATTCTCCAAACACTTTGCCCTGTCCTTCCTGACATTCTTACTAACTGGCATCTCCTTACGGGTACTCCTCATCTACTTTTGCAAGGAGCTGCTATTTTCAGTCAAACCTTAATGGCACTTGGAGGTTTGTGCTCCCTTGGTGACAACCCTGTACTTTCACAGCATCTGGTTCACTGTTCACTTTCCTTCTGCTCAAGGCAGCTTAATTGTTCACTGCTCCAGACAATCTTCTCCAGCTGCAAAGCCTGCCCAGCCCTTGTGTGTGTACAACCTCCTCGTCTTCTCCATCTGCAGCTTTTACTCTCATTGTCACCTTCTGTTCTCCTTGTTTGTCTGCTGCAGCCATCCATTTCCATAGGAAAAAATATATGTTGCTAGGGGCATGGATTGTTCTTTTAAAATATGTACAATGCCCAGTCTAGTGGGAGTCTGATCCCACACCATTGCAAGACTGGCAGAAAATAACCAAAACCACTTATTATGCTGTGGGCTTGAGAAAATCTGCTCCTCTCTTCAGCAGCAGCTGGGAAAAGGGAGCTGACAGCACCTGCCCAACTCTTGTCCTGGAGAGGCAGGCTTGGGCTGCCCCTGGGACTCAAGGAAAGGAAAGCAGCAAGAAGGGCAAAGCACAGCAGGCTCCTTGGGCTTTGCACATTGAAGAGCCTGTATGAGAGGGACCATGAAAACAGACCAAGGCACTGCAGTTTCATAGGAAAGTTACAAACTCTAGAAGATCTAATCTTAAGTTTCCAAGTATTCATATTTCTTTAAATCTCTGTTACCAAATTCCTGTCATGACAAAGAATATCACTACTATTAACAATAAGTTTAATATGTAAATGAATATCAACAGCTGATTTAATTGTTCACCTTTACAGACTTGTGGTCCAGGAAAATCCACCTGAGGAGCAGTTTGAGGGATTCGGACTTCTGAAGAGCAATTTGAAAAGCTTCTTTTTTTCTTTTTCTATTTTTTGGACCAAACAGGTAACCACATTAGCCTCTCAGATGCAGTACAGCTTCAGTCCAGCAACCTCAATTTTATTCTAATTCCACAAAAGCTGGTGTGACAGAATGCACATGTGATGGTCTCAGAGCTGGAGCACAACTCGTATTTTCATATTGCAAGAGGACTTTGTCATGCTGGCTAATTTTTGCAAATAAGCATTTGAGTTATAAATTGAAAACACTTGAATCATAAAGTCAGCAAGAAAATAAAACAAGGACCTGATTTTTCTGTGCTTCATTAAAGCCATTTGTAATGCCTCTTATTAATTCATGGCATATTACTAAAGATATGTAAACCTCCGTAAATATCAACCAGCATACTACAGCATAACGACCCCTTTTGAGTGGCTTGAGTTGCTGTTTAAAAACGTTTCCTTCCCTCTTCTGATTTTGTATTTGCCAAGGTCTGCCCTTGAAACACACTGACATTTTCTTGTCCCATTTACTATGAGGAGCCCTAATGGTGCTCATCACCTTTGGGTGAAGCAAAGTGCCTCATGAGTTCAGCCGCCTGTGGGGAGTGTTTCAGTGCTGTGCATGACAAATTAGCCACACAACTCGTTACTGGCAACTACAGTTACATGCATAATCTGCTAGACATGGTACTAGAGATGTGCCCCTTAGGGTTTTCTTGGCTCTGATGTGCAACAGCACAACACAGAGGCTTTGTTACACCCCCATCTCAACTTCTATACTCAGAAAACCTTCAGGCTGCTTTTGATGCAGTTCTTCCACTTCAGGTTTTAACACATACCTTTTGATATAAGTGACAAGAATAATAGAGCCTGTCTGGCATTCAGATCTTAAACTCTGAAACACAAAGCATAATACAATCCTTTTTTTTCCCCCTATTTTTTAAAAGCAAATCACATCTCATCTTCTTGGGAGATTACTGCTTTTCAAATGAAATTCACTCTTGGGATAAATAGGCTCAGCTAATGTAGTAGAAAGAGAAAGGAGCTGAAGAAACCAGCTGCAGTCCCACAGAGCAGCCCCACAAGATCACTAATGTGCCCCTTTGCCTCTCAGCCTCCTCACCAGTATGCTGGTTTATCAACCCAAGTGCAGCCTCCTACAATGGGAAAACTTAAATAATCATTCTCCCTGCTAGCAGTGTATGTGCTTTCCCTATGGTGTAACAGCTTTCAGTTGCACTGTAAAAGAGTTGCTTTACTCTCTTTACTTAAATTAGAGATTATCCTTTCCTTGAGACAGCTATCTCAGAATTTAACCTTTTCATGGATAACATTATTTTTCAGTCCTCTCTTACCAGAGTTGGGGATTAAAGACTTGAAACAGCAGTAGGTGCATCTCACGCTCTGTTTAGGGTAGTAGCAGCACATTGCAGACTGTTTTTCATCCATGTACACCTTGTACTTTTCCATTGTTATGAAGGTTTTGTAGCTATCTGATGACATAGTTTAAAAACATAAAATAAAACAAGCCCAAACCACACTTTTCTTATGTATTGTATAAACATCAGGCTTACATTTGTGGCAGCTGAAGTTTATCAAACTGATCACAGGTTTAGATTGGGATTCTCCAGGCTAATTCCCAGATGCTGTCCCTCACTTCAGTTTCCCTCACTGTTCTCAAGAGGACATCTCAATACTGGCTTCAGCCTTATCTTCTGCAAAAAAAAAAAAACAAAACAACTTGACAGTTACTTGTTGAAAATACAGCTTATTACAAATGAATTAAACCTAGGAAGCAGTAGTCTTTATTTGCATTTTCTTCCCATGTTAGTTCTAAGTATAGACATGGACACTGTTCTCAGTATTTAAAATTTCCACCATGTCCCATTTAAACTTTAATTTCCTTGCTCACTACTTTTACTCACTACTTTTACTCACTTAACCCCTTCGGAAGCCAAATGGTAATTTTATTTGGCTACACATCCACTAGAGAAATTAGAAAAGTTTAATTGCCAATACCCAAACTAGAACATTTGATAGGTAGACTATGAATTGTGAAAAAGCATTGATAAGATCTTATGAAAAGTTAGCTATAGAACTGCAGTTAGACCACAAATAACAAAAAACACAATCTTAACACTATAAACTACTACCACAGTGAAGTGCATTAGTAGTTCTCTTTTATTTAAAGTCACTTTCATACGAAAGCAAAGTGCTTTTCCCATCACATAAAGACTTCTTTAGGAGGTGCGTTTTTGGATCTCCTGAGCATCATGGGCAGATACAAGAAATATTTTTCTTCCCCAGTTTCTCAGCTTAGGCTTTGCAAGGCAGTAACTGAGATGTCTGAAAAACCAAACACCTTCTAGGATGTTTATTGCTTGGAAAAAAAGACATGACAGTGACATTGTCCAAAACCAGACAACTGGAAAGCAGGACCTGCCATAAGCAAGCTTTTCACCTGTGGAGTGTGGAGCAGTGTCACTACCTGTTATGCTATCCAGGTAACTTCAGTCATCCTTTTGGATCCATCAGATTGTAACAGCATCTGGGTGACAACCACGTTATCCTGAACATTTTGATCTTTAAGACACTCTAGTGGCCAACTCCTATGCTAGCATCTTGTTTTGAGCATGAAAAGAATTGGTCTTTTAGAAAAGACTTGCAGAACACAGGAACTGTTAAAGGACAGTGACAGGAATGTAGAGGAAGAGCATATACATATTGCTGTGCTCCAGATAAATTTGTGCAGCTGTTTATGATAAACGTTCCCTTACTCCAATTTTTTCATGCCTTCATTTCCTCCCTTCCTTTCTATTTACAGAAAATAAATAGTACAAGTCCTTGCTTTCAATTACATGCAGCACCTGCTGCCTGTTCTGAAACAGATGTCTGAAGCATCATTAGGCAATTATTTCCTAGCCTTTTTCAGTGGGACTAATTTCAAACATCTTTTTGTTAAATCCTCCTCCCTCTGCTTCCTCTCCATTTCTCATCCTTTCCTACATTCAGAGTTCCAAGAAAAAATCCTCTCTGTATCAGTTTGTCAGTTTGCTCCTGTTCTGTTTGTTCTGGATCACTGTAACCACAGAAGAACAAAGAGGCTGTAACTACTGTGAACCAGGAATTAAATTCAAGAGAGATTATTGGAGAAAAATAAAGACAAGGTGAGGGAAGAAAACAATAAGGGAGTATTAGTCAGCAGTGAAGGCAGCAGTTTCAGAACACCAGCTGGCTTGTTATGGGTCAGGTTTTGTGGACATTACAGCGAAGGTTTTACGCACATGCAAGAACAACTCCTACACTCTCAATGTGAATGACTTAAGTTTTGGCAGTAGGAGAAAAAACGAACTCCAAGCACGCTTTTTCATTTCTTTGCCACCTTGTATACTGGCAAGAAAGCACATTTTAAAATTGGGAAGGCCTGTAGGGCTTTCTGTGATGACTATTTTTGGGGAAGGCATTTGTGGGAACCAATTCCTCCCTCCTGTTTCCAAATATCACCATAATACTTGGATGAAGTCTCCACTACTGGGAGGAACCACAAACGTCCCAGCTCGTAACAGACTTGGCACATGCTTCATTTAATCACATTGACTGTTATGCAGTGGCACATACTCGTAATTTCTCTTACCATTCTCCTAGCAGAAATGGGACTACTTTCTGCTCTGCTTTACTTTAATTTGGGAAAATTAAAAAGATGAATAAAGAAAGTAGATGTCTCACCCTATCAAAGCAGTAGTTTAGCTGCAGCTATTCCTCCAGTTGTCAAGAAAGGCAAGCAGATGTTTGGGCCCATACATGCTCACACACTCACAGCTTGCTCATCCCAGGCTAAGCTGGCAGACAGGTCCAGTTCTAGCTGGTAGGAAAGGAGTGTTCATTCTTCCAATCAATAACAAAAAGCAAGCTAAAACAAGTGCTTTAGGACATGCTGTGCCAGGTTAATTGGCACCACACTGTTCGGTGGTTCAACACTTGTTGAAAATTGTTCCTTAAGGTTATTTCTTTCACTGGCAAATTCCAGGTTATTATTCAGGCAATCTTGATAATCTGGGCCGATTTCAACTTGTAAGTTACTGTGACTAAATTAGTATATTCTCCACTGTGCATTTAAAATATATTAGTGGGAATGGGCTGGTGGCATCCCTAACAATTCATTACACAACTGTCTACCTTGATAAAGATGCTGCAGTTTCCCATCACACTCATCTGCGCTGGGGAGACCTCTGGCAGCAAACTTCAGGAAAAAACAGTCCATTCAGTTCTATAAAGAGCACTGCAGAACAAGTAAACAAGTAGTTCTCACTGCAGAAGTAACAAAATTTTTTCCTTGTGATCATCTTGTGTGTGATTTCTTTCTTGTTGTATGACAATTTCTTCCTTCCCCTTACTGCTGGCACTCACTTGGGCTTCCCTATTCTATCAGTGCATCCACTTTCTAATAATGTGCAAGACTATAAGATCTTCAGGTCCTTCGCCCCTGTTAACTAGCCAACAGAGTACAGAATCACTTGGGACAGTGTGACAGATCTGACAAATGCTCAGACAGCATAATTACATCAAACACAGAGTATAATGACAGTTTCTCATTTTAAAAAAAATCAGTCTAAAAGAAGGGACATTACCTAGTAGATGCACAAACTAAAAGTCTACATCAACTTGACAGAATACCTATGTGATAAAATCTGCAGAAGGGCTTGAAAGTGACAGGGGGAGGCAGATGACTTCTGCCATCTGGAAGAACAACTTGTACTTACTGCAGTTTGGGCAAGATACAGGTGTTTTAATATTTAACTCTATTTATTTCATACTTGGACAAGAGCAAAAGCTCACACCTAGAAACCTTCAGGGTTTTCCTGGAATTGCAGTTTGTTCCTGCTGCAGTCTACATGGTAAAAGATCAAGGCTGAAGGAAATGATGCCTGCCTCTTCTGGTACCTGGACAAGCAGCAAAGCACAGCCTGCTGGAAACTGAATGGGCTGTGAACAACATCAAGTTGGTTAGTTGGAAGGATTATGCTGATAATTTCAGTTGCCAGCAGCAGACAAGGATATCTGAGTTAGGAAAGATAAAGGGAACAGAATGGGGAGGAATAGGGTTTGACCACAATCCATGGTATAGAGATGAATGATGAGACTACAAATGAAATGAAAGGCCTGAGATGTGACAATTAGAGAAGAGAACAGAAAGAGTTGGAAGAAATTAGGGAGAAACCCTCCGTGCCTGAGAGGGCACATTGCTGGGAATTAAACCCAAGATTCCTGACTCAACATTTTCCTGCTGCCAACCAACATCCGCAACAACATTTCTGTAAAACCAGGGCTCCTCCTAGAAGATGGTAACTAATTATTATAACTACTCTTTTATCTCCTGCAGCTGAACTTTTGTTTGCTCACTGCAAACAACTCTGTCTGCAGAGTTGGAACAGGAGAGATGGAGACTATGCTGAAAGAGCAATAGGTAACACAGTGCTACACTGAAAAAGGAAGTTTCAAAATTCAGGTTGCCTGTGGTGTCTGAACTTTCTCCCTTTTCATTTAGAAGTATAAAATACAATCTTTACTAGGGACATCCTTTCCCCAGTAATCCCAGGATGAGCTTACTCTCAAAGTAAAGCAAATAGCCTTTATTTGACAAGCAGATTTTCAGTACTTTGTCTCATTCTCCACACAGCTCCATGACTTACTGGCTGCTCATTTATGAACTCTCACTCTGAATAATGAATTAGGAACTTCTGTGTACAGCATTCACTGCTGAAATAAGCAATTATAGACAGATCCACAAAAGTAACAGCTCAGTTTAGCAAGTCAAATAGCAAATAATTTTAATTTATTACTTAAGAAGAAAAACTTCAGTTCTCAGGTAGTTTGCATACATGTCCTCATGGGTACAAACATACTTCCACAGAATTGATAATAAGAAAGTTCAGAAATCATGTGTCTGGATTTCTACCTTCAGGAATCCATCATTTGTAGTAGAGGATCCCTAATGACTTAACAAGGGAACAGGATTCCAGCAAAAGCATTTTATACAAATATGAATCAAGATACCATAATTGCCTTATAGGATACGAAGATCAAAAAGACATGACAGGCAAAGCAACATGCATGAGTCAGAGAAAGATAAAGCTGATAGTAAAAGCAGAGGTAGGATTAGAGCTAAATCCTGCTCCAGCCTCTATGCATTCATTCATACATTACCACTCAGCCACAGAGTTCTCTAACATTTCTCACCTGCAGATCTCAAGAGTTTTTAATGATTGGTGTTATCAAAAAATAGGGCTTGTGTCCTACAACATAGGAAACCATATTATTCACAATTTACAAAGAGGAAACTGAGGCATGGAATTAACTGTTTTTCCTCTCATCTCAGCAGATCTGAGGAACTGAAAGCAGGGTTATTCTGTCCTTTGTCTCCTTTCCTGAAAAGTCAGCTTGCATTTTGCCAGAATATTGAGATATTAAATATTGAGATTCTATGGTAATTTTTACTCTAAGGTATTCCATTTCTATGGAAACACACATTTTTAAGGTAATGTAAAAATGCTGACTGCTTTTAAAACCTCCATTTTACTTACCTGCCTTTTACTGCCATAACTGTTTCTATGGAAACTAGAACTGGCCACGAAGCAATCCAACATGAATTCTCACTTGTCAGTTTTACCTTAAAGTGCCACCTTCAAAGTCCTTTAATAAACTAGTAATGGCTGCATTGCCTGAAGAGTTTTCAAATTAAACAAAAAGAGAAAGTGTGCTTTCACTGAACGTTCCACACAATATTTTGTAGGTGTGGTCTAAATCTAAGAATTTTTTTTAACAGTGTGCATGATATGACTTTGGTTAAGGATATGATCTGTAAACAGAGAGACAGTTTATTAGCAGTAAAAGCCCTAGTGTGTGTAGTTCGACTTACATAAAGGTGACTTATACCAGTATGGGTATGTCTAGACTGCTGTCACAGAAGCATACTGTAGAGATGCTGAGTAAACAGGTAAATCAGCCTAATGTGAGCTCTGTGCTCCCACAGCTAGCTGGGGTACTTCTGTGCAGGCATATGCATATGGCATTCCCTCTAAGTGCAGGAGGGGGAACGTACTCAATCAGAGTAAGTTTTCGTCTGTGCTGGGTGGCTACTGAGGAAAAAATAAGGCACACAAGATTAATGCGTAAGTATTCCACACTGTTGTTCGTAATTACAATCTGCATAACTTGAAACTAGGCCATTCTGTTAATTTTTACCTTGACCTTTTCAGTCTTGTAAAAAACAGTAGGCTCCCTCGTGTTCATTCATATTATTCCCCTAATCCAAGTGAGAAAAATCCCTTCTTCCAGTTCTTGAGGAACAATTTCCAACAGAATACATCCTTCCAAGAGTTGAGTATTGCCAGCAAGGACCAGCTTAAAAATTTCAAAGGAAAGGTTCTTTCCAGAGTGACTGATCTGTCTTTCCTGAGAAAAGCTCCTCACTCCTCATCTCTAAGGCTTCACAGTTATCCGTGCTTTTAAATCACAATGGGGCAGGACAGTTGTCTGCACACTTCTTGTCTGCATCAGTCTATGATGCTTAGAAAATAGGAGGTCAGGAGTTTTAGGCAGACTTCATATATAGAAATACATTCGGCCCATATTGAGATCTAACTAGAAGATACCTATCTCTAAGTACAGCAGTTAACACTAGGAGTAGTGGCAGCTTGCTGGGAAACCAGCTATTAAGCTCTGCAGCAAGTAGGGAAATGACAGTGAAGTAACTCACAGTTTTCCACTATGAACACATATACCATCTCTACAAAGCTGGGGTTTTCCACAGGTCTCTGAATGCAAATGCCAAATATTTCATCACTTCTTTCTCTTAGTCTCACTGAAGTCATGGCTTGGAATGAGGCATATAATATAAAAACAAAGCAGAAACCTGGCACACGAGGCTACTCACTGGCTTTCCTCATGCATTCGGTTTATTTTTCCCTGCTATGTCAATCCTTATAGGGCTGCACGACTACATCTGCTTCCTGGAAGCCTGCTGTTTCAACTGTTACAGGGAAGGTGCTGAGCAGAAAGAAGAAATATATTCTTCCCTTCCTACTCTTCTCAAATTAATAATGGTATCGCCTCCACACTATTAAACAGATTACTTAGATGATCCCCTGCAGCAGGAAGCCCTCCAAGCACAGATGCTGAACAGCTCCAGGTTTTGAACAGTGGCACATAACAGAGTTCTGATTATTCCAGGTCAAATGTCTTGCATGGTAACCTTTTTCAGGCCAATGTTACTTCATTCATGTCTTTTGTTCTGCTACAAGCAAGGATATGGATAGCATTTTTCCTGAAAGTGACAAGAAGACAAAAGGCAACGGGAAGCATGGAGATCACAGTGAGTCTTGCTTGTTTTCATACTTTCTGTTCCAAAACACCTAATTTTTTGCTTATATTTTGTGATATACAAAGCAATTTAAAAATAAACAAAGACATTAGTTGATTTTGAAACTTCTGGTCTGTACAGAATCCAAAACAACATGCATCAGTAGTGCACATGGTAGCCAGGGGAATCCAGACAAGCTTTACAAGCAGTGGGGGATGCTGCAGAATGGGGAAGGGGTGCAGTTCCTCATTCCTGAAAACTACTTTTCAGAGGAAGGTGGGGTCTGTTTTAGTAGTGACAAAGCTATGCACATTCAGGAATACACACATATATATATACACACATGGGTGTGCCAACATTACCAGGAAGAACAGGTAACCTTTAGATTGTTTGCTTACATGTGCTTTTCCTACTGTAAAGCATATATAAAAAGAACAGCTACCACTGTAAGGAAGAATCACAACATCAGCCTTTAAGTCAGAAGGATGAGTCCTGATGTGACCACTGCTGCAAACAGTACTCTTTAGCAGTAACTTCTCTTTAGGGGTCACTGGATGTAGATGTGAGAAAGGCCACGTAACGTCTCACTGCTAATCAGGGAAGCACATGCAGGCAGAAAGCCTGTGGTCTCTTCCAGCTCCCCTGCTATAGAAGGGTGTCCAGAATTAGTTAGATACAACATTCCCCAGTCAAGAAGAATATTAAAACAAATACTGGGACAACTTCTCAGAAGCTGGACAAAACTAGCAGTTACAGAAACTGCCCCCAGTAGGTAATAGCTTTTAAGTGCCAGAGTTCTGTTTCAGACATTCCTTATTCTTTTTACTTTACCCTGACTGGACAAGAACTAATGCATCTTATCTTCCCTCTTTAAAATGCCATGTAATATCCTTCCATAGTGCTGACAATATCGCTGTTGCTCTCCAGCAGTTCCAAAACACGTTGCATCACCACTTCAGTCAGATTGGGATTGTAACTCTGCCGAACACAACTCAGGACATGAAGAAAATGGCAGCCTTTTTCAGCATCTGCAGGAAAAAAAAGAGAAAAACATAGCCAAGCATGAAGGAAAGACCTCAGCCCAGCTGCCTCCTTTTAAATATCATAATCCAAATAAGTTGGGAAAAACCAACAACAACAACAAAAAAAAAAATGGCACAAGATGCATGTATTCAGAAGAAAGAGATGGAGTCTGTGCCAGCAGCTCTCCAATCACCAAACGTCCCTACAGATCTCACTAGGAGGTGTCAGGGCAGTAACACTAATCATGAGTATGAATGATAGCTTTATCAGCTAATATATAGAGCTCATATAATACAACCAAACAACAAGGATAACTTCAGGGGCACCTCCACAACCCTTCTATGCAAACCACCTACTTTCTGCAACTACAGTTCATCACAGAATCATAGAATTGTTTGAGTTGGAATGGTCCCTTAAAGTGGAATGGACCCACCTAGTCCAACTCCCTTACAGCGAACAGGGACACTGACAGCTAGATTATGAACAGAAGAAACCAAATAAAAAATTCTTTTGCTTATATCCAGTATTAAAAACATTTAGAACTGAAGGCAGGCCCATGGTCAGATATGACTGCTTGCCCAATGCTGTCATCTTGTGGAAGAACTGTTACAGTGCAACCTTCATTCAACTAGAGATGCAATCCTATTCACACACTTCACACTTCTCAAACAATTACCGGAGCAGAAAGTCACAGAATTTCAGTATCATTATCTCATTTTAAGAGGAATGAGCCCTGAAAATGTACATAAGAGCAGAAATATATAAAAATGCAACAAGAGATTTTCTCTCCTCCATGGCTAACAATGGAAAACTAGTATAAATGAAGCACATTAGCACAAGTGACCTTCCCTCAACTTACTCCTCAGCTCATAAAGTAAATCGGACAAAGACACTAAGAAATTTGCATGGAGGGCTGGGACCAGGGAGATTCCTGTCCTTTGTTTTTGCTGCTTTTGTTTTTATTTTAGCCAATCCCCACCTGAGAATTGGATAAGCCCTAAAACTGCCTTAGAAGTTGCCTAAAAAAGTCACTGGTAAATAGGAGGAGCTGTTCAGTACAGGCAAATACACAGTTCAGCCCAACTCCTATTAGACTATGGTTCAAGCAAGGATACTTCTTTAGAAGTCAGTGGCACAGCATGATGAAAGACCTTTGTGGCTGGTAACCAAAAACACATTCACCACCCTAGGATGGATAAGGACAGAGAACAGAACTACACACCTACCCACTCTTAGTGACTGCTGATACAAACAAAGTGGGTACCTTCATTTTGCATTAGTCACAGGTTTGTCATAAGAAAGTCAGCGTGCCCATCCCTGATCTACAGTACATAAATTTCAGTCTCGAATTAGTGACTCAGGTATTACCCAACAGTATAATGCATCTTTTGTTCTAAATGCTGGCAGAAAATGGCATTTCAGGGTAGTTGCAGGTATGTACAATAATTAAAGTAGCCCAGATACGTGCCTAGGCTACAAATAAAATTTGATGGAATACACACTTTGCAGTGGTGTGATGCTGTCCCTCTTTCATTGACATGGAGTTTATCTTTTGTCCAGGTAATTCAGGCTATGATTAACTGTCTTGCTTACCAGAATCAGAAGGGATGGAGTTACAGAGTAACTTCCACTTGTTGCATTTAAGCCTAAAAACAGAGTAAAGGAATCAAGAAAAGAAACAAGTCTGAATTAAGTCTACCATTTTGCAGTTCAGTCTGAAGTCCAATTGTACTGTCACCTTTTTCTGACTGTCTTTAAGACTCTAGATAGATCCAGAGTGGACTCACATAAGTGAACTTCAAATTAGGCTGTTTGGAATTAAAATTACAACCAAGGGCTATCATGTTGGCACACTGAACACCAAGGTTTGTGGAGCTCAGACTAGTCACACTGAGGACTTTTTATTTGTACAACAGTTCCAGGTAGTTGGGTTGGTTCTGAAAAATGCATCATAAAAAAAAAATTGGGGTGAAGCAGTGCCTTGAAAGCAAGCAGAGAATTAGTTGACCTGGATAGACAACTTTGGCTTCTCATACATAGAACAGTTTTGCTGTCATGGAAGAAAAATGGGTTAGAATTTCTTGCAGCAAACAAGGAGGCATTATCACTTGAGGTATTATCACATTCATATTTACACACTACAAGCCTCCTCACTATGCCTGCCAACCACCCACCAGAGGGGGCCCAACAGTCACACTGAGCTCTGCATTCCTGCAGCAATGGCCAAAGAACCCTCTTGGTTTTGACTGAAGCTTTTTGGTTTCCCTTCTCAAAATCCTTTGTTACCAGAAACCAGAACACTGAAATGGTCCTTCTGAAAACCAGCAGAGAAAAAGAGACTGACTTCAGAATTGTGCTCTCTACAACAGGAAACTAAACAGATGGAAAGCTTCAAGGAAAACAAGAGGCTCTGCAAAGCAACTGCTATTATTTTTCTGCTCAGTATGAAAGATGACTTTGAGAACTAAAAGCTCTGCAAAGTTTTTTCTGTGACCCTCCTACCAGTTTCTGTCTGCTGTTGGCTGGCCGAAATAACTTTTCCACCTATGACAGAGAACTGAGAGTACTTTACCACTGTGATAATGCATATCCAGCAGTCACTCATTGCCCTGTGTCAGTTGTACGCATGTTCTGGGCCTCTATATAGTGGGCCAATTATGAAAAAAAACCCACAAGTTTCCAAGGGAGGTAGTACCTGATGCGTAAAATGGATGGAAGAATGATTTGCCCTTTACAGAGCAGGTGTTTGTATTTGCTAATTGGATAAAAGACAAAAAAAACAATATGATATGATAATATCCTCAGACAAATGACACCCATCTTTACCTGCTTGCCCAGTACCATCTACTTCCATCATCCCCCAGAGATACAAAACTTCTACTTTCATCTATAAACCATGTCTACAACCACACCACTGCTTAAGCAGCCAGCTGAAAACTCAAGTCATTTCACTTCACTAACCCTTTTTTCTCTCTACAGGATAACCATCATCAATCAGGTCCTATACACACCACTGTAATTATGATGGCAATTTAATATTATATATCTTATATTCTAGTCAGTCATTTATTCTTTTGTACATTCTCACCCACAAACAGCTACACTTTAGCAGCAAAAGATCCCTGCTGACACATTCTACCCAATGAATTGAGACAAACTCTGAATCAATCCATCTCTGTAACAAGCAGATAATCAAGCCAAGCATCAGCTATTGCTATGGCAATTAGACACAATAAGAAATAGGGATAACTCTGAAACCAGACAAGGTATATGACATGAAAAGAAGTGGATTATTATTATTATTTTTTTTTTTTTAACATTGAAATACCTACCTATAAAGAACAACCACCTAAGCTCTTGCACTTGCTTAAAAACTTACAGAGAATGTCCTACTGACATAAGTGAATTTTATTGTTGACTTACTGGAGACGGTCTATACTGCCACTTTTCTGTCAACTCCCATATAAAAACTGAAGCAGCAAGATTTGCTACCTATCCAAAGTGCAAAGCAACTGCTAGTAGGTGCTGACCTAACTTCCTTATATTTGTTTCCTCTCCAAATCTGTATATTTTCAAAAGATACAGATTTAAGATAATGGCTGCTTATTTCAGATGTGACAAGTTTGCTTCCTTTTAGGCACATGCTCTCTCACTCTGCTTACAGGAAGCTGCAGCCAATCTTCTTTTAGATACTCTGATGAGCTACAGGAGCAAATTAGCTTCAAGTTCAAGGGTAAAGACAAAAAGCATACCAAACCTTGCATCAGGAGAGTTTGTCATCAACATATCACCAACTGCTCATCAGAGACATGAAAGCACCAGTACTTACGCCTGGGTTTTTGACAGTCTTCTTTAATCACATCAAGGGTCACTTTAAGCAGCTCCTTATCGTGGTCGGTCACCTGGAGGAAAAAATAGACTGCTATACATTGTCAGTTTATTTCACAATAGATAGCATCGATATTAAAAAGGAATCCAAGGTTCTGATGTATCCTAAAAATTTACATCTTCATAACTACAGTCTGCATGATACGCTGCCTCCAAGATTAATAATGAATTTTAAATTTTCAATTACCTTTTTTTAGCAATGTTAGTAGCATTCAAGAGTTAGGAAAAGAAAATGAAATACTAGAATTCAACCCAAAAGAAGGGAGCTGACTCAAGGCAGCAAAATCCCAAGTTTCAACCTAACTCCAATAAAAAGACCTGTCCCAGACTTCAATTGTGCTCTATTGCATCAGCACACAGTTCAGTAACCCAGTAAACACTGACTGTATCCAGAAGAGCAGGAGAGCTGATGAGTGGTATTGAACTACAAAAAACCCCCCCCAAAAAACAGCTCAGTGAGCGATATGAAGTAAAAGCAACAGTGAAGAAACCTGCAGATGAGCCTGATGAATATACATACAGCTTCTCTTTCTGAAATATTTCTACCTTAAAGCTATAAAATTGTGATACCAATGAAAAAGTTAGCAGTCGCAGCTCAATTCCTTACATGGTAGTACAAGTCCTTGGAGGTACTGGGTTTTTGGAAAACCACTCCTTTTTCTTGTAGTTTCTTTATTGCTTCTTTGAAGACACTGTGAATCCTCTTGGAGCTGGATTCGCTTCCTGAATTCACCTGGATGGGAAGATACAAGTGAAGGAGATGGTAAGAACTCTCAGCCCTACTGAAACTGACAGTAACAGCTTCTGAAGACTTCAAGAGCAAAAGAACTTCATGTGATTTTATTATGCATTTTTATTCACTTGAAAATTCAGAAATCTTGTCTGTTACATATGAACTAACCAACACCTCAGGCTTGAAAAAGAAAAAAAACAACAACCCAGAAGCTGTACTGTTCTAAAGAAACTAGAAATCTTCTCACTGCCTTCTTTGTATTTAGCAGCTATTTAATTACATACTGAGAGTTATTTTCTTTTGGAATAGACCTGTGATGCTTACAGAGAATTCGACTGTTAAGCTGATCAGCTTTGATGATATTCAGACTTTTCCTGTAATAAAGGGAGATGGGAAGAAGCCAGGAAGACTAGTGCTTTGTAAGGTGATATTCAGGAGGAATCCAAGTGCTGCAGATTCAATCTCCACCTCCTGATACGAAAATGTAGCAGTGTCCAAGGAAAACAAGGAAACTGGTAATGACAATATTTATTTTTTGTCCCTTGGTTTCCAATTATTTATTTATTTATTTATTGTACACATATTCTGGTCTTGCTTTTGAGAACTTCTCCATAGTTCCAATGAAATGAAAAGAGAAAGTATATGCAAGAAAATAAAGCAGGTATATAAGATAAGGAAAGAAAGGATTCCGTTTATAAGGCAAGTGAGAAAATGAGTTTCTTGTGAAAGAAGAACAACGTGCCTGGAAGCCTGTAACTGAGGAGGCTGTTAGAAGAAAGGGCTCAGTACAGTGCTAAAAGGGTAGAAAGGAAGAAATGAGGGAAAAAAAAATAGGGAAAAGCAGGGTTTGTTTGAAAGCAGAGCTAAAAGAGTGGGATGACAGAAAGGGAACTGGAAGAAAATGAATCAACTGTGAAGAAAAGACTGTACAGGTAGATAAGAGTAAGACCACGAGTTTACTCTTTTCCATCTCTATCAGCCCTATTGTATCTTTCAACCCCACATTTATCTACAAAGCCTGCTTCAATTCCCCATTTCTTGTTTCCACATCTGTTGGGTACACACTGTGCTCCCTGTGATGTCCTTCAAGAAGACAGCTAAACTGTTTCCCACAAACAAACATGATGAATGGAACCAGACTACACCAGAGCAACCAAAGCAAGATTTGCGAAGCCATGTTTTCAGCTGTCACCATAGATGCTCCCATTCTGTCCTGAGGACAAGTATCAGATATCACATATCCTCTTCATTCATCAAGGCAACTCAAAGAAATCTTGGGAGTGAAATAGGCAACCATCATGCACCAGTATAAATTCACATGGACACATGGTAACGCACACATTAGTAATGTAAGAATATATTTTCACAAAACTTTACTTTCATCCATTCGTAAGGCTTGAGTGAAACTCAGACTACCTCTAAGATTGGGAGCTGACGCTTCTAGACAGGAACAGTTCACAATCCAATGAGCATGAGCACACCCCACATTTTTCTCCATGCCCTTCCCCTCAATGTTTCAACAGGCCATAATCACAGCTCTCTTTTTTTCTTCCTCTCTCTGTGCCCCACAGCAGCTATCTTTTTTCCTCTCAAGTCCTTAGCCAAAAATAATTACCTAATAGTGCAAGATATTTAACACAGAACAATGGCTATTATTCTCAGTCTTTATTGGCTTCAAGTTTTCTCCTGTTACAGAATTCAGTGTCTGAATGTTTGTCCCCCTAGGCACCACAGCTATATCAGTTTATGCAACAGACGCTGCTTTCAAAGACAAACTTGACCTTACATTTGGACATCATTCCACTCACACCATTAATACTGCTATATTTCTCTTCATAATGCCTCCTACAATGAACTGAAGAAATAAACATTAAATGTGGTAGGAAGGGGTTTTGTTTGCTTGTTTTACAAATGAAGAGTGAATATTTTCTCATAGAAAAGCTCATAACCATACCTAAAATGGATAGGCTTTGCCTCTAACAGATGCAGGAATAAATCCTCAAAAATTTAAGAAACTGCTTGAAAAGCAACCACCTCAAGACTGATCAATTTTTAATGTGAAAGCAAACATTTGAGAAGAAAAAAAAGATAAAAACATCTCCAAAGAAGCACGATAATTATTCAGTTTGGCTTAACAGTGAGATCCCGTCAGAAAAGGGAGATAATTAAAAACAGACTCTGTGTGAAATGACACACAGCTCTGCCCGGATGGATTCTGTGAAACAGAATCACTGAGAGCGGAAGTCAAGAGATTGACAGAGAGAAGGCAGAGGCACGCTTGAGAGTGAGAAAATAAGCAAGCAGCTGCTATATCTCAGCACCCCTTCAAACATGTGGAGTCCAAGGGAACAGGCTAAAGGGGAGAATGACTGCTGCCAAAAAACAAACAAGGGCTCTTGCCCTCTTTAGGGGCTTCAACAGTATCCTAAGATGGAAGAACTTATTTTTCTGTAGCATGGACTAGAGTGCACTTCTACCTCTCTATCTTTCTGAGTAAATCAACAATTTTACAGCTTCTTTGTGCACACAACCTAGAATTCCTTAATCTGTTCTTTTGTTCACCCAAAATATCTCCAACTTCTCATCCTGCCCATTCAAAAAGTCAACAGCATGTCTCCTTAATTCCTTGTCACCTTCTTTTTTTTTACCAAACCAGGCCCTCATTTCTTCTGAGCTTGCACTGTCCCCTGAGAGGCAACGTACACTGACGCTTGACTGCTGAGCAGAGGTCTAGAGGAGGTTGGACACAGTGCTATACACAGACAAAAGAAATCTGAGACGATGAAATCCTAGCTGATTTCACATTCCTGCTTTTATTTCAGGAGATTGAAAAACGCTTGCATTTCAACAGTTATAAAAACGTGTCTGTTGCTGTTAAAGTAGTTCCTTCTGAGTCACAGCTTGTTAACTATTGCTTTACTTTTATGAAGCTTTTCATCCAAGAAATTCAAAGCATTTTCAGGTATTAAGTAGTTTAACTGCTGATCCAAAGCAATAGCAAGATTTGAATCTGGATTTTGAATTAACCCCTCGCAATGTTCACACATCATCTTTCAAAACATCTCCCCTCTGGCAAACCTTAAGTTTCAGCGAGCACAATTCCAGGATCCCCGAAGTGCTGACAGTAGCTGTTCCCCCCAGCTCTCCCAAATCAGATTCTTTCTAAAACGAAGCTGTACATCCAAACACAGGAGCACCCTAAAATCATTCATCACTTTTGTAAAGCACACCTTCCTCTCTTTATCCCCCAGCTATTGAATGATGATTTTACCATCCAGAGCTTTCCTCCCAGGGCCAGCCAGGAATCATGCAGCAAAGCCAACAGAACACATCTCCAGAATTAAACTGGTATTTCAAGCCAAATATTCTATCTGCTGGCCTTGCTTAGTTTAGTGGACTTGTGCTGTGCAACCAATTATTCTCTTTATAGCAAAGTAAACTTCCTCTACAATCAATAATTGGTCAAAGAATGAAGTGGTACAGGAATTAGGTTGAATGCTGAAAGTATATAATTGGCTCTTTATGAATCACGACACACCCTGATTGTGTTAAAGTTTCCTGGTATAACCACACTACTGTGATACTACTAATAGAAACTGCACTTTGCAATTTCTCTTTAAGCCTTAGTTTAGACAGGTGACAATTTTAGTGACAGTGATGATAGTGATTCTGGATGCGTCAGTACTGAAGTCCTATAATAAATAAGCTTTGCTATGTTTAAAGTAGCAGTGAAGCTTCCTCCAGAAGCAGGAAGACAAGCGCTGACATCAAGAATGTATAAAACAAGGCACTGTGTTATGCCTACAGTACAGTGTGCATGGCCATAGTAAGCATAAATAACGTAGTAAAACTTCTTGCTTCAACTACCTGTCATTGATGACCTTGAGATAACATTCAAACCAAAAGAAGAAGAGCAGAGTTTGAAAAACACAACCAAGTTCAAGCTAGTGACATGCGTGAAGTGGAATGATAGTACTAAAACAGCTCATAATATAGCTCATGCTTGGAAGAAGTAAGAAAGAAAGGTTAATCAAGACCGGCTGGCTGCAAATTGAATCTATTCTCATTCAGAAACTGCATGGATCAAGCTCACGTGATCAGATTTACTTTTTTTTCTGAAAAGAACAAAAAATTAATTGCCTAAGTCCAGCAAGGGAAGGCTAACACTTAGAAATAGAAGGGGTACTGGTTATGTGAAATAAAGCTTTACTATTTTCAAATTAGTAACAGATTTCTTAATTTATAATAATTTTTAAAAACATCAAGCTACTAGTACTTATCCTCTGTAACTATAAAATTAAGTAACCTAGTATGTGTTTGAGCAGAGGACATGATTAGAGTTCAGCTATATGCATCTGCTAGAGAGAAATTTATTCTGAAGGGCCAGAAGACTGCACTGCTGGGGAGCCATTAGGACTGGAACTCAGTATTGTAAGACACACAACTCTGTGGGAAATGGACAGTAATCCTGAAAAGGAAGAGACAGGTGCTGCCTACAGCCCAGCTACCTCCTCCCATCCTCATGCCCTGTTCCACTCTACTGCCAGTGATTCCATGAGAAAATTTCTTATGTACTAGCACACTGTTTATCACATTGGGAGGGTAAAAAAAGATGAAGAAGGTGCACTAACATCTCCTAGGATCACACAGTAAGGATGGGAGAAGCAAACAGTTTAAACCACAACTGTGCTACAACACTAGAAACAGGAGAAAATTATAAGGCTAATTATCAAAGTACCCATCCCTTCAAAGTCAGTAAAGTACAAGAAGCAGACAAGTGTGTTCTTTGCTCTGTAGCTTAAGGCTTACAGTTTGGCCCACTCATCTAGCTTGTGCCTTGACAAAATGCCATAACATAACTTCATTCTAGCAGTATCCTTTTTCCATTTGGTTTAAGAGAGATGCAAAACTGAAGACTACAGAGGGAAGGAAGGGAAGTAAGAAGGAGAGAAATCAGACTTCCCTCTTATTTTTGTTAATCAAACTGGGTACTTGACCCTTTGCCAATTGAGGGGAGTAACACTTTCAAGAGACTGACAGAGGAACAACAAAATACATTTCAAGAACATTACTAGGAGCACTCTTAAGGCATTCAGGTCACTTGACAACTGAATATTGTTTCTTATGCAAAGAGATATAAGCCTCTTTGCAAGGAATTAATACCAAAGGGCAATGGGGAGAACTGCAATTTCTAAATAAGCATCTGTGTGCCCAAATTCCTGGGACATACACTCACGCTTTTGCATCAGGGTCAGGAGCAACAGCTATTAATTATTATGACAGTTCCTCATGACTATTAGCAATGCTGATGCTGGAGAAGGAGAGTTGTGCCTTTATGTTTGCTCTGCACCAGTTCCTACTTACAATAGCTTTGCAAGTCATTCATCTTAATCTTTCTATAAATGCTAGAACTTCAGAGATGGACATTTTCAGCATCAGTTACAATGAGCACTACTTCCTTTTATGCAAAGGCTTTGGGAACTCTTTAATATTGTTCCAGCTGGTTTAGAAAAATACCCTGTCCCATTATGGATATTTTAGTAACAAATTTTTCCTGTCACAAATCATACAAATTCCTGTCCTTGTTTATATCCACAATTGCTTTAAAGCAAACAACAAAAAATGCCCTTAACAAAAATTAAAGAAACAGTTATCAAGAAGCAGTTATCAGAAACAGTTCGTTGAGGCAAACAAGAACAGAGATTGTTTTCATTATTATTTAGCCTCATCTGCAATGGACTGGCCTTTGTTGTTTATTTTTAAGAATTAAACAAACATTATCTATTAACATAACATAGCACTTTTATCTTTACAGTGTATGTCAAAATCAGGCTCTGAAAATGACTGCCAGAGATTTATTTCTCTACAGAAAACCAGAAAGTAAACAAGTGAGTCACAGTACTCTGGTTTAAATGTCGAAGTTGCCATTGGTAACAAGGTTAAATTCATGACTGTTACTTTTGCAGAAGTTTGTCACTCCAGTAGAGAGCCTGGCTTGCAATTTATTCAAATAGCAAAAATAGTATTAAGCTATTTTACAAAATGTTTTTTGTTCTATCATTTTGTAGTTCATCAAGACCATAGTATCTCACTGGAAAGCTTTGTAACAATTTGGTTACGTGCAATTGCATGTAAACAGACTTCATTTAAATCCCACCTTCTGATCCTTTCAGTCATGGCATTCCACAAGGCCATACACATTTAACAGGGAGCATTTTTCATTCACTCATTATAATCTTCTTTTGAAACCAACATCTATATTAATATATTACACTTCAAATGAGAAATAAGAAAGAATTTGTCCTCCCTTTTCCTGTTGGGGACATCTGCTCCAAAGAGCCCAAGTGCCTTTTCCAATAGAGACATTATTCACAGATTTAGGTAAGTTAGACTGTAAGGTTACTCAGCTCACATACGAGATCATCCTTAACAATAGAATTGTGGCTTTCTTCACTCCAGTTTTAAATATCCCAAGTGACAAGGCCTCTCAAACCCCAGAAATAATTCATGCAGAAAGGTAAATCAGGAATAGGCATTTGTAGTTTTCAAATCCATTGAAGGCATTAATTTCTTAGCTGGTTGCTTAGACTTTTGGAAATGACACTGTTTTCCCCAGTAAAGAACTAGAAACAATTACTTTCACTCACCTGACAGCTGGGACTAGATTTAGGCCCATCAGCTAGAGATACCAGAGAATGAATTGTTTCCAACTCCTGCTGGTAAAAGGTCTGAATTTTGTTTTCTAGTAGGAAGTCTCTCACTTTCTCATGCAGTGTTTGGACTAAGAAATCCAAACCTTCTGGGCCACTACAAGAATACAGAGAACAGATAAAAAATTGAGAAATACTCTACAGTTTTTAATAACAACTGTCTAAGTGTAGCCAGATAGACTGGTTTTAAAAGATCAGGAGGTATTTTACTGTCCTTCGACAGTAAAGAGTTTGAATCTGAACTCCTAACTAAGGCAGACTATTTTAAAATGCACTGAACATCTAGGTTCAGATTCCCTTTCTCCAGATTCCCTTTCTGTCAGAGATGCAAAATGTCTACACACAGTATTTTAATATCTAACTAATAATCAGTTTGGTGCTTTTTAATTCTTTTCATAGATCACGGACAGGTATCTTATCTGTATGGATTGTTAATTGTTCAGGAGAAAAGAAGGCTGCTATTGTATGCTTGTGTGGAGTACAAATCACAGTGGAACCCTGTTCTATCTTCCACCAGTTATTACATAAACAAATAAGCAACAATAGAATCTCACACTTTGCCTTTAAACCAGTCTGGTTACCACATTTACCTTTGTCCCGCCCCTGGGCTTTGGAAAGGTTTATCATAAACTTCTCTATACAGGCAGGGGAGCTCCAACATTCTTGAAATCTGAACATCACACACAGGATCATCCACCTTATCTGAAGCAGCAAAAAGAACAGTTGTACTTGGCTTTTAAACAAGCATAGCTCAGGCAGCACAACAAAGTTTCACATGCCAGCATTAAATTGACAGATTTTGTTTGTTGCTGTTGTTATAAAAACAAAACCAAACCACAAAGGTCACTCCCACTTTTACAGTTTAGAAGGAGGTAAATGATCTGTTGTGGTGCAATGCAAACTGTTCTTTTGCCTGATAACTGAGAATTGGGTATTTTACCTGAAATAGATGAAGTTAGCACATAGTAAGGAACTGTATTTGTGCTGATGTTAAAGTAATTTAGAGGCTACGTGAATTCTGTGGACCTCCTTCAACAAAACAATGGTTTTATTACCAGCCCTTCAATAGTTTATATATTCATAAAATTTCTGCTTGGAAAGGATGGCTTTCAGATTTTGCAAGAGCTGAAAAAACTAATTTTTTTCTTTCTTTTTAATCTATACTTTTAAACTTCTTTTAAACTACACAAGGTCTTTAAAAGACAGGCTTCCCCAATTATACGACAGCACAGACACTAAGGAGAAAAGCTGTTATACAACTGGAAGATCCTAGGATATAAATAAATGATTGTTGCCAAAGAGCTTTGAGATACAGGTCAGCACCCACAGATCTCGACTGAGTGACTCAAAAGGGGGAATGATTTTCAGGCATATTTTAAAGCCAGAAAGTTTAGGAAAATGGGCTTTAATGTAAAAATGCGACAATAAACCGTTGTCTGTCCTTGGAATGGATGATGTGGGCTGTAAACAACAACTATTTCTTCAAAGCAGTTAACATTCTTGGTTAAGTGTGACACAGTTGTTCATAATTTTCTTTCCAATGTGTTTTAGCTGTTCTATTTCAATACAAAGAAAACTGAAGAGCACCCACAGATATCCAGTTATAGTATCTGGATAATATTCTTGTATACACTGTATTCATCTCTTATAAACCTTTCAGGAATTCCTCTCCTATAGGTAGCCTTCTAGTCCCACACATTAAGCAGTGTGTATTTTAGTTTTAGCAATGTAAGTTTAGAAAAAAGGCATATGAATGCAAAACTCATTTTTCTAAAGAAACACCAGAAAACAAAGTGGAAATCATTCAATAAACTTGGGCCTTCAGACAACTATGTTACACATCACAGATCCTCCGCACTCACAAAAACATGAAGACTGAATTTCTCTTTGCTGCCTGAACGTCCGGACATAACCTCTGACCCTGATGACATCTCCAATCTCCAGCTTGGTTTTCTGGTTCACCATTTCCTGGAATTTCTTCATCTGTTCAAGCACTTTAAGACTGGTGGGGGTGCTTGGGCAGTCTGTAAGAAGTGATGGAAAAGCAAATCAGGCATGGAGGCCAAATGCCTAAACATCACTGCAGTCACATTGCTAGAAAGGGGAAAGGTCCCAGGCTTCATTTGTAGTGGGTAGCAAAACTTATGGATGATAAAGTTAGCTTATAATATTATATTTATTTAAACAGTTCACCTGGGGAAGGTATAAAAGGGAAGAGATGTCACAGTTAGATTGAAAAACTGAAACATAAATTGGAAATTGCCAAAGTTGATTTTGTCATACTAAGAAGGAGAGGATAAAAAAAGGAAAGAAAAAGGTCAGCTGAACATTTATATAAAAGAAGCATGAATCATCTGAGGTGAGGCCAAAGCATTCATGTGATGTGATGCAATACAGTGAGATGAATGCAACTTGACAGAAGTTCATTTTTATGTAACACACCTTTGCAGGACAGTAATTTCTTCATTATTTAAAACCTAAATAATGACCTAACAACCTCTGATCATCATTACCAACTTTGAAGAAAATTTCCTGTGTCTCTTGGGAGCTATTTTCTTTTCCTAACACAAATTAATTTTCATTAATAAAATAATACTCAGTCAGTACTATTGTATGCTATTATTTTACACGTACAGGGCTGAAGCAAGCATTCGAAGTCCTCACTCTGTGTCAACCACTATTTCATGCAATTTCTTCCATTTTGAGAGGAATTTATGTTCCTCTCAAAAAAAAGCTAATTTGTGAGTCCCCATTTCTTTTTTTTGAAAATATTAAGTGTAAGTTAGTATAAATTATCTGTGTGTATATATGTACTTGTTCCACAGATATCAACACTTTTTAACTCCTACATCAAGCTTTCCACTGCCTTTTCTATACATGTGTAGTACTGGAAGATTACCCTACTGGCATTTATTTCAGCTTGATCACCTTCAATCTAGTAATGGAGCTTTCAGGAATGTCCAATGTAGAAATTATCCCATACTCTGATATACAAGAAGGTAAAGGGAAAGTCAGACATTACTGAGTTCTTCTGTAACTGAGTACAAAAACAGATTCAAATGCACTTCAAATGCACAATTTTTGCCCGTTTAGAACTGCTCATGTCACAAAATGCATGCTCCCCCTGCATTTAAATCTACTTTTGAGTTCATCAAGCTAGCATACGCATAAACAGAAGAAAAATATGAATGCAAACAATAAAAAGAGGAATTCTGAAACTACTGTGCCCCAAGGGTGAGAAATGCAGATCAAGTTGGTGGACTGGCTTTATAAAGTGTAAGAAAATGCTCCGAAAAATTTCACAGCATGGAATTGAAATACATTATGTTAATAAGGAAAATGCATGATAAGTCATAATGCAGTGTTTTTATTGGCACCATCACTGGCAACAACACAAAAAGTAATATGAAGCTCCCAAGATGGTCCAGGCTGTGGGATATGGCTGTTCTGCAAGTGAGATCATTTACTAAATTATTTAAGTAACAAACAAAAAGTACAGTCACAAAAAGGAATTACTTAATAAGTTACCTGATAAAGATCTTTCTGCTACCATGGGATTTTTCCAGCAGATACAATTTATAACCCCAGTACTATCATCCACTGTTAAAAAAAAAAAAAATAATGAAAGAAATTGCAAGAATTACAAGGAATATAAAAGTAGGTAGTGATATTCCAAGAAATGAAAATACGTAGATATTCTTAGCAGTCATCTCCCTGCACATCTCATTCTAACCACTCTGTAAAGAAAAGTGGGACTCATCTCCTGCTTTTGGCTTTGAAATAGTCTCCAAACTTACCTGCAGAATAGTTCAGTGCTAGACAGCATGCCTACATGCATAGCAAGCAAAATAACAGCTAGCTCCTCAAGAAATAAAAAAAATATCAAATACTGACAAATGATGATGATTCACTACATATGTTGGGTACTAGAGGTTTCTAATTTAATTGATAAAGTCAGAAGGTAAATCAGTGCTGAAAGTTGAAGCTAAACAAATCACAATTAGAAATGAAACAGAATGCACAGAAACATTAATACCAAAATGACAGAACAGCACATCAGAGCTGGTGGGGAGTGAGGAGGGAGGTAGAGTAACATAGATTAAGAGAGTCCTATCTCCAGCTACATTGTTTTTTATGCTAATATTGCAAACAAAGTCTGCTGGCCTTTCCCATTTAAGAGATTAGAAAGGCAGCTACAATATCCAGACAGAACAGAGGACATGCCTATAATTCTGCCCTAGGCCAAGGATTCCTAATTTAAGGTACCACTAGTGGCATGCAAGCCACTTCCGTATTAAAAAGCTTAACACCTACCCTCTCCTGAGCATGTCAGCTATCTGGCTTTTCCTGTCTTACTAGTACCTAGGCAAAATAAGTCCAGTGATTCCTGCCCTAGGCACTGTATTGTTCAAGACACAAGAAAAAAAAAAGAACAAAGAAAACGATAAAGCTATCAGAAGAATCAACTGTTCTATAGATCAAGAGGCTTCATATGGGCAGCTTGCCCAGCAAACATCCTCTAAGTAAGAAGGTACCAGGTGTCTGTCAAACCATGGCAAAGATCACGTTTCCAGTCCAGCCAAAACTCCAAGCACATTGCTCCCTGAGCATAACTGCCTCCAACACTGACCTTCATAAATATGACCTCTTCATAAGTAAGAATCCACAATTTTCTACTGCTCCTCAAACCAGATCTACAAAACCAGATACTATATATAAAAACAACAACAAAGAAACCCCCTCAAACCAGTTACTACAAAAGCATCAGCGATGTTTACCAGGAAGGTACTGATTGGTACTTGCAGTCGCTTCCTCTGGGAATCGTAGCATCAAAGCAAAATGCCTTTGCATTGTCTCATATGTTTTGAAACAATCTCCCTATTTGAGGGTCTGATCTCAAGTCATTGCCGTGTCTTCCTGTTTCCCAGTAGGTATGCTGAACTACTCTGGCACAGACACATTCTTAATAGCAAACAGCATTTATAAGATGCAGGCAATCCCAAATTCCATCACTAGAAGTATGGTTGTTTCATTGCTATCCCCCTCCTGAGCTCCCGTGTCTGCAGCTATTTCAATAGATTTAGTTCAGCACTAGTGTAGACAATGATCTAATTAATAGGGTTTCCTCTCTTTGGTACAGATGAAATGCAACTATTTTAGTAGGAGGAAGAGCCATCATACACCATATCAAGCCATCAATGCAAGCCAGCAGTGACTATAAGAAACAGGGAAAACAACATTTCACAATTATTTTACTGCACTATGTAGATGTTTCCTTAGAGACCAACATATATGCTTCCTAAGAAGAGCTCAGAAGCCAAACAAACAAGACTGAAGGATTAGGAAACCAGATGGTTCCTCATAAATGTGACTATTAAAAATTGAGTTGTAGAGAGACCGACCTATAGTTGACCACAAAGCTGAATTTGGGTTGCAGAGGCAGACCCTGAAATAAAGCTCACAAATAAACCTTTGAGCAAAAACAACTCCTGAACCACGGGTGAATGAAAACTACTGCAATTATATTCTAATTAGACAGAAGAACGTTAATCTATTTTAAATGCACTCAGGGCATCTAAAGGCTTGTGAAAACTTCCTGGGCTCCTCGTGCCATCCTTTCTCATCTCCTTGCATTTAATTTTATTTACTTATTAACTCTTACATTGACTATCTCACCCATCTTGACTCTTATGTTATCTATTTGAGAAGCAGTCCACTCGAAGTTACCTGGTAAATTAGTAACTGTGTTGGTTTCTTTATAAGAAGCGGCGTTTGTTTTATGTAGGGCCTATGTGAGTCTACTGAGGCTCCAGTGAGATTTTTGTTTGTTTGTAAGGCAAATGTTCAGCCTTTTCAGTATGGTCCTGGAGAATAAGAAAAGCCACATCTGATGTTGTTTGGTTCTCTTAAAAAAGGAAAGAAAAGGTCAGAAAGGTGCACTAACTAAAAATATGAGCTTGCTGAAAGCTAGGCTTTAATTAGATATCCTTTTCCTAGCTGATCATAATAAGAGCAATTAATAAACAAATCAAAATGTCAAAGTTTATGTGCTGTTTTACATAGCATTTAGAATTATTATTAGCCAGGAAAGAGTTAATTCACTCTCTTCTAATAATTACTCCGCTATCAGCTCTGGCTGTATGGATTTGCAGCAGAGAGTACCTAAGACTCTCTTAAAATAAGAGGTATATACTCTGAAGTAGACAGATAGGAAATGAGTGGGAGAAATGGTGGCAGTGACACAAAGACATTTCAGTTCTATCGCAGAAAAACTACAAAGGGGCAATTGCTTTGTAAGTCACTTTTAAGCAGATGGAAAGCGAGCAAATACTGAACTGTGCTCCAATTGATGCAACACCTGCTCTGTGACTCACTAACCAGAGTCTGTTGAACTGAGAGATGCAAGAAGTTACAGGCAGGAAACTGTCTAAGAAGTTACAATTCTATGCTGCTGGAACCAGCCTGCCTGAAAGAGAGGGCTGGCTGGGTAGAGGCACCCTGGCAGGTAGCCTGAGAATTCAAACCAGGAACTGCTGGAACAAAGAGCAGAGTTAGATGTGAAAGGACAGCAGGAAGGCAGGCTCAGAGCTGTACTTAAAGGTTGGCTGATCTAACACTAAGTTCTTTTTGTTTCTGATTTCTTTTTATTTCTACTCCTCCATTTGCTGTTCCAATCAAACATTTCCAACAAGCTTTATGTAACGCTGAGGCTAGCATGGGAAAGAATCGTTCATTAAATTGCTTTTGCCTAACTCACTGTGATTCTATTTTCCTCTATTCTTATGAAATGCTGTCTCCATTTGTATACTAGAGCAATAACAGGATAACTGCTGACGTTCAATTTGTTTCAACACTTCATTACATCATCAGTCTCATCATTTCTTAACTTAGGCGCTTGTTTAGTCCGTTCTACTTCAACTGACTGAGCAACTCATGCTTTAAAATACATAAACTTGTTATTTGGTGTAATGGCAGGGTAATAAAACAGAAATCAGATGGGAAAAAAGCATAGAAGATATCCTATTTAATAAACTTGCAGGAACATTTATGTAGAGCAGAACTTGACTCTAAGCAGCTACACTCCATTTGGGGTATGCTTCATGCACTGGCAGTCAGCACTACTCTGCAGTGCTGTGGTGCAACTGCAGGTGTTATGGAAGCTGGGCTCTAAGCTGTAAATTCTATCTTCTCAACACTGCTCTCAGTGGGGGAATTACTGCTGTCTCCATCTTAAAAGTGGAAGAACTGGGTACAAAGTGGCACTCCATAACTTAGCTCCATCAGTTGGAAATTTGTGGAGGCAGAGACACTGGACACAGGTTCTTCAAATGCCTGGAGAGTAATGATCTATGCATTTGGCTCCCTTTTTTACTGTGAGATGATCCTTCCCTCACCTCCAGTACTTCAGTTCGCTTTTTCAGCACACAACCAGATGGCTCCAAGTTAATGAAATAGTCTGAATGCAATAAGGAAAAGCAAGAGGGAGGAGTCAACCCTGCGCTGGTGGAGGCAAGGTCTGGTGGGTACTACAATGGTTGAGTTGGATTTGCTAAGACACTGGCAGCTAAGTATAAACAAGCTCAACAGACACTAAAACCTGGCTCCAATACACAATAAAACATGCAAAGTCAGAAGGGGTTTCTGAAGCTCAAAAAGGGAAGAAGTAACTTCTTACAGAAATCATTAAAACCATTTATATGTGACTAAAGAAACAGCATATATGTGAAAGAAAAACAGTGGGGTTCAGTGGCAAGGCAATGACAAAAACTAAATTTTTCCAGTTGACCCCAAATCAGCTTCAGCCATTTATTTCCTCTATTTTAAAAGTAAAGAGAAACCATAGCTTGCTAAAGTATTCTGAGCTGGGCATATACATCATATATCAAAAAAAAGTAGATCTGTTTCAAGAACAATCAAATAAGGCAACTTTTAATTTGAGTAACAGTAACTAAGACTAGAGGGCTGATAAATGCAAAAAAAAAAGATGGAAACACTTCTTACCTCCATAACTGTGAAAGGCTTCTCGCTCTTTAGTCTGAACCACCATCCCAACAACATCCACCTGTCTCACTGGATGTCCATTATAGAAGAATATACCTAGACAAAGAACATCCTTGATAAGTATAACTACTTTTTCTTCAACAGCCTGCCCTAGATAGGTTTGACTGACAAATGTGACTTTCTTGCACACTTAATGTGCTTTAAAGTTAATTAATGCCTGCTTATGTGAAAAATCCCCTCAATGAGCAAGCACTGGGAACACAAGAAGGAAGTATCAGCTCTACATAGGATACAAAAATTGTGCTATTGTAGTCTCAGAACTCTATCAGCCTCTTGCTTTCTTCTATGTTTGGATCTGCAGAACTGTTTACTGTGGGCTTAAGAAGGTTTTTTTGTTTGTTTGTTTTTTGCTGGTTCTTTTTGTTTGTTTGTTTTTACAACTTCAACAGTCTTCAGAATAAATAAGTGAATACAATGGAAGCACTTTAAGCTTCTCACAGCACAGCTGTTCCTGATTAAGGCATTGCCTCCAAAAGGAAAGCTAACAATTCAGTCTTTCAATTCTAGAACGGGAGCCATGGTGTGGGGTAGGACATGGAGGTGGGTGGGGGTTAACAATCCTCTCACATTGCAGAGCACACTGTGCAGTCATCATGGATGGTATCCTGAGCTCCAGTTTCTGAAATAACATGTTCTAAAAACATCCCTTCAAAGCTATTTTTGCACATCTATAAAGATGACTTGGATAAGAATAATACAAAATGAAGTTCAGGAAATGGTGAGGAATCGCAGCCCAGGGGACTTCCACAATACTGAGGTTGCCACATAGTGTAATTTCTTTCAAGAGCGCGACCAACATTTTTAACAAACCCTGATGTAAACATACACTGAAGCTTCACAAGCCCACTAGCAGGAGAATAACTGGGAAACAAGCTCCTGGTCTAATTTTCAGTCCATGTGTTTTCTTCAGTTTTGAAATATTGTTGTTTTACTGAAGTATGATGCTATCTGGGACATTCAGTAACTGCCTTCTAAAAACTCCATAACTCAAGAGCCTCAAAAAGGAACAAAGCACTATGGCAAATCTTATAAAGGGAAAGAGAAACACTGCAACAAGGAAAACATTCTGTATTAAAAAAAAAAAAAAAAATCAAATGTGAAATCCAAAAATAACTTGTCCTACATAGGCAGCAGCCCTAACTGGGCCTGGAATTAGTTTTTCCTCACACACAAAACAAAAACAACAGTTTCAGAAAAAGTCAAAGCTGATCAGCCAAGCAGGTCACAAACAGGAGTTTTGCTGACACAAGTCCACTGCAATATTTCAGGGATGCATCTACTGCAGTCATCTTAAAACCATGCAGTCACTGGTCAGATGCAGTATAAAGAATGTTTAGCAGGTTTGTCCACTTTTCTCATTCCATTTATCAGGACACAAATAAACACTGTTAGAGAAACTCTCAATGAAGGTGCTCCCAGTGTACATAAACATTCATTAAATCTTACAAAACATACATATGAGAAGGTCTGGGTCACTTTCAGGGCAAATCTATGAGGCAGAGACACCAATCTCTTCATGTGCAAACAAGCAACATGTTATTATATTCATTTCATATTTAGTAAGCTGAGTTTTGGCAAATGACAGTGACCAGATAAAACTGGTTCTCTATATCCCCATAAGCTTACATAGAATTCCACCCTTACTCTCTGAGAAACTACCTGAATTCATATGAAAGATGACATTATAATTACATTATCGATCAGAAGCTGCTGAACTTGATGACTTGAAGGTGTAAAGAGGGAGCTTTTCTCATCCCAGATTATCTGTTTAAAATTCTGTTCACATCAGTAACAATAAAAACACACTACACATTTGAAGCCCTGTGTAGGTGCATTCAATCAAGCTCATGCCCCAGTAAATAACATGTACATTAACATGCTGTTATCACAACAGGAAACCACAGCTGCACTTTAGGGGGACTATGGATACAGACAAGGCAAGTTCTGGTCCTACCGTTACCATCACCAAGCAATGAGGTTTTTGCCATTGCTTTAATTCTTATTACCTCCTTTTGTGTTATTTGCAGCTTCCCTTGCTTGTTGATAAGCTGTCACAATGCTGTACTGCATGATAGCTCTGCACACATTTCCACGGTGTGATTATGTGTTACAACTGAGTTTGACACCCACTCTCATTTCAAGGCCTCTAAGTCAACACAATTGCTGTGTTTATCTGGGTGGTTTTCCAGCCTTCTTGTCACCATTTCTAGCAGGAGAGTAATTGGACAGGTTTACTGCTTTCCTCTGTGTTCTTTTAAGGGATTAGTCATTGTTGCATCAAATCCTAATGCTTAAAAATGGAAAGAAAAAACTTATTAGGTCATTCAGTTCATTTCCTCAGAGCCACTGCAAAATTGTTCCATACAGTAAATTCCTGGCAATTTGTACAGTCAGGATATAAACAATCCCAGTGAATGGGATCCCACCTTTTTCCTGGGGAGGCTGCTCCATAATTTAGGAAAAGCACTCTTAAAATATCTGCTAACATTTAGCCTGCCTTTCTTTCTATTCCTCCTAGGTACAACTCTGTTCTGCACTCATTCATTGTTAATTATCCTTACTTAATGACTGATACATTGCTAATCAGCTCCAGCTGGTCTTCAACAAACCCATTAAATTCAGGGAACATTGGCAGCAAACACCCACCTTCCTCCTTCCTCAAAAAATACTTTTTTTTTTTTTTTTTATTTAGAAGTTTCCACTGGGCCAATGGGTGAGATATGCTAAAAGATGTCTTCTGTGGTACGTACACAGCTACAGGACACTGAACAAGATTAAGGATGTTTTTCTATGAGATTCATTTTATTCTTTAAAGCTTGGTTAGAAAATGACACAGGATTACAAATAAGCTTAGTTGTGCAGAATGCCAGATGCACAGGAAGTGAAGAAAGCTCACATGCACCAATTTTAAAGACTGATATCTTGATATGACAGATACCACTTCCTTAGGACAATCTTAAAAAAAAAAAAAACAACAACAACACTGAAATAGTTATGAGGCAGAAGACAACTCACCCAACTAAAAGAAAGGGAAGGGAAGTGAGAAGGAAAAAAGCTAAGCTATGTAGAGGCGAACAAAAGAGCACACAGGATTGTGCCTTCAAAGGCCAGTCATGTTCTTTTGAAGCACATTTACTGATGTGCACAGATTTAATTCTTCTGAGCATATCTGTATGTGTGTATGTATGAACTGTTTTGTATTCAATTCAATAACAATTAAAATGTCTCTGATTAAAGGAACAGCCTTTATCAGATGCACTTGCTATACCAATACTACAATAAGACTGAAGAGTTTTAGGAAGCCTTGAGGTACTGTTTGCTCAAGCACAAAAACCAATAATAGACTGTAGCCCCATTCCTGAAAAGGCTTTAAAAAAAAAAAACAAAAACCGTTTGTGAAGTCCCAACAAACATAAGAATGGTTGTAAAAAAAGAAGAAAACCACCTGTCCTTCATTTCTACATGAGTAGTACTGTTGTTATCCTTGCTGGTAAAGAAAAATAAATGAGAATCACAAGACCTACAGGATGGAACTTATTCAAAGAACCAAACAGATGTTCTTTTTCCCCTGCAGAGAAAAAATAAACAAAAAAACAGCCCCAGCAAACCAAATGGAAAACACACACTGCTTAGGGTTTCCTGCTTTTCATCATCAATTCTAAGTTTCTTGGGATTCCTCCCCAGTTTTTTCTGCACCTCGACACATTCCAGTTTGAAGTAACAAACACTTCCACAGAAGAGATCACACTGCAGTCTGTTTAGATTCTTTATAGTGAAAACAGAAACTGAAGATCAGATTCACAGTGCTCTACAAAACGTACACACACGGGTGATATTGGCCGAAGATCAGCAGAACCAGACTGTAAAGCATTCAACTGCCAGTAATGGTTAGAAAATAAAAGGCGTGGTACAAGACTCAGCCCAGGTGCCAGAATTTACAAGCATGTCTTTCAAATACCTGAAGAACACTGTATCTTTCATAACTAGAAATTAAGCAAACAAAACCTATATAATTTTTTTTACAGTATGTTAATATGCCATCAACTAATTGATATTATGTCATAATAAAAAGAAGAGACATAAAACCCTCCTCAAGCATTGTGGACAGAGTTGCAAGATATAACATGTATGGCCAGAAAGGACCAGCATTTTTAGAACTATCAGAACATAACAAGCACTACCACACAGTAAGCCAGTTTATGTGTGTATATACATACACACACATAAATGCATGTATATTTACATACACACACACACACAAGAAGAAAAGCCTACAGAACTAACTTTTTTTTTTTCACCTGTATTTCTTCAAGGTATACAATCTGCTCTTCTTAAAACCACTAAAGGTTCTACTGTCATGTAGTTTCAGAGTACTGAAAAATAACTGTACTGGTGTCCATGAAGCATTCTGAAATCCCTCGATGAAAAGCAAAACATAAATCAAATACAATTCTTTGTGTCTCATGACCACAACGTATCAGTACATACCTGGAACTTGTTTAGATTCTCTCATTTCTTTTATATCTTTAATATAGAGTCTTGCAAAAGCAGAAAATACAGGATCTAACCCCCAGAGCAGGGAAGGTATCTCTTCTTCATACTTCTTGGACTCAGACTGCATTAAAACCTGTGAAAATAAGAAAAAAATGTAGTTATTGTCTACACAGGTGAAGAGAAGCTGTTCTATGTTTTAAATGAATGAAAAATTGGCTTGTGATCTTACAAACAGCAATACAACTGATCTGATGAGGTGTCACAGGAACTTATTAACATGCCACTTTTGCTTCACCATATAAAAGACACAAAATAGCACTTCTGACAGTGTACTGAAATATTAAGACTCCAACAGCATTCTACCTGCTACTTCAAATGAAAGAGGATTTCCTCATCTATGGACAGAGAGAGATAAATATAATACTACTTTAAAAGTGAGATTGTGGGATGTCAATTAGTTATTTCCTCTGTACTTCCATTTCCTCCCATCATTTCCTTCCCAGTCCATAAGATATTCTCCTCACTGTTCATCCTGCACTTTACTGGGGAAGGAAGGCTTACTTTTTATACCTCCAATCCCCCCAGAAAAGGCAACAAGCTCTTCTCTATTTTGAGCATGCAGTTTCCAATAACTCTGTAATGGTTACTTTCCTCTTTTACCTCTTCAGTTTTCCCTGTCTAATGCCTGCTATCTTTTGTCAGTACTACACTCATTCTCAGCTTGCTGCAGTTGGTTTCAGGAAAAAAAAAAAATGCACACAAAAACAAGCTCTCAACCTTGAAGGTTTGTCCAGCCTCAAAACCTCTACAGGAGGTTCTGAATACACTTTTTATTACTTTCTCCCATTTTAACTAAATTGTTCCTGTAAACCTTTACAAGGTGGACATCAGCTGCTTACAGGTGTGGTGCAAAGGTGGCAAGCAAACTGATTCTGAGCAGTGTGTAAGGCTGAGAGCTGGAAGCCATAGTCTTCAAAGAGAAAAAAAGCTCCTTTCTATGGGCTGTCAGTGATCTCAGTGCTTATACATAGAGAGACAACATGACATGAATATCATGATAGATCTTGCATTATTGGGAAACAACAGAGCTTGGATTCTGCTTCGTTTCTGTTTTAACACTTAAACTTTAATTTGGGCCTGAATATCAGTGTAGCACAACATGCTAGAGCATTGCTGACATATATTCTATGCTGTGAAAAGAACTGCAGATGACAACTATACTTATTTCCAATTTTTATTTTATTAAAGATTAGTGCTATTTTGACCTTCCCTAGACTGGTCATTTGTCTTGCAAGATGGTGGACGTATCTGAACCCCTCAGTTCCACCAGGCACTTCAGTTTTTAGTAGTAAACTGAGGATTTTTGTTGGCACTTGCATTTATGTCTCTGCCCCATACACAGGCAGGATTTCCCAACCCATCCCTTTTACATATGCAAAGCCTATTTAAAAAAAATTTTCTCACTCTCCTTTTCTTGCTTGAATCTCCCCAGGAAACACATTTTTCCTCCTGCTGAATTGCAGTCACTCATCAGAAGAAATTTCTAAACTAAGCTATTGACTGCGTGATCTTATTAATGCAAGGCTGTTGTTGCTCCGTATGGCAGTTCTCCAGTTTCTTTCTAAATAATCTGTAGAAAATTTAGACTATAAACTTTTCCAAGCAACCATATAGTTTGAACCTCTATTTGACTTAGCATGTGCATTTCTATAACACATTTAGTCTTCCCAATCCTTATGGCCTCACGTACACTGATGCCTGCCATGTCCCTGTATCCAGCATACAGCATAGAAATAAAGAACCCAAAAGATTAGTCCAACAAATGTTCACAGCTCACACAAAGACATCACACACCAAACAAACACATACCAGCATTAACGTGTGATACGTCAGAATAAGGAGAAACACTTCTATTCAGTGTCCCACTCCCAAACAGGAAATATTACAATAAAATTTTGTCCTTTCTGGTGCTATAGTTGTCCAACTATTCACTTTGAGTGGCACTTCTCTCAGACACGTATCCCATGGGTACAAACACAGTTCTTGTCGTCTATCATGATCTTTTATACAAAGCAGCATTCCTTTTTGCAGCAGAAGCTCTCTCTCCATTTCAGAAACTACTGGGAATTAAACCCAGGATTGAAATCCTGCAGCTTCCCCCCAGCTCACACACCTCATGACAGCTCTTCCACTGAGAAGCTCACACCCTTCATGTACAGCACTGCTCCACCTGCTTCGAGTTGCTTCATACATCTTAAGTTCTATCTTACAGACCTGTGGATTCCTGAAGAAAAAGTAAGACTCTTCTCTAGCGCAATGACAGCACAACTTCTTGTTTCTTCATTTGTTTTCAAGGCCACAGAACAAATCCACCGAAGTCCCAAGGTAAGACAGTCCATCCATTCGAGGCTGGGAGAGTGAAACTGCACCCCAGCCACTCTCTGGCTGACAAGCATGTGAACAGCATCCCACAGAGCAGCCCTGCTTTGCCCTTCCTTGGTTCTGGCAGTCTCCCCAATCACTGTCACACCCCAAAGCCAAGCCCACTCACTTCCCTCCCAAGTGGTCCACTTCGTAACCACATTTGAACCTGTTACAAACCAAAGCTTTGTGGCCTGGTGGGAGGCAAAGACCTTTGCTATTTCCTGTGCTGCTTGCCTCCATACATTCGCTACAAATCCCTTCTGCTAGGATGGAAGCCTTAAAATTCTGTACTGGGCACTTAAACCCAGCTCACAGTGTTAGCAGCAGTTCTTTTCTCCTGCAACAAAGACACATCAACCAACTCTATCCAATGTATCTATTTTTCTGTTTGGTTATAAACTTGTTACAGATTTATAGCAGATTTATAGCATCAGTAAATACAATGCTTAAAGAGCTGATAAAAATGCTTCAAACCAATTTCTATTTTGCCATAGAATGGTATCTTCCCGTAACTGTTCTTGAATTGGCACAGGAAGCCTCTCCATCCCAGGGGTTAATTAATTAGTGACTCATCCTGGCAAAAGTGAGACTTGCCATTATGTTAGGAGTGCTTGCAGCTCCGCACTGTACTGTTGGTGATACGCTGTCACCAAGGAAGATAACAGTGACTTTGTACAATGGAGATCCAAGGGCTGAATGACAGGCATTGTGGCTACATGCAGCTCACAATAAACAATCCCAAACAGATAGAAGACGTACAAATGTTTAAGGATTAAAATGACTTTTGCAAAAGCATTGAGACAATTTTCATCAATACAAACAATACAGAGTCGTAGAAAAACATCATCTTGTTCTATGTTTCATTTTAAATGCCACGTAAAATGGCTTTACAGTTGTAGTGGTTCAAGGAATTCAGTGCTGTAGCAATGCAAAAGGCAAGAGAGGCATCAAGTCCATAAGCTCAGTAGAGCAAAATACCCCTTTTGCCACTGTAAAACATCTCTGAAGATGCAATAAAAGCACAGTAAAACAAAAGAAGTTGGAATTAAGTTTTACTATCTGAAATACTCCTCTGGGAAAGAGTTCAGTTTCAAAGGCAAAAACAAAGTTGATATGGCACTTACCTAAGTACAAATAAACAAAAATGGCCTGAATTTGATACTACTTTAGGCAGTACTTTATGCAAATAAAGGCATTTCCTTAACTTCCTTCTATCAATGTTAGCTTTCCTGACTGTAGCAAGAATCAAACAAGACCGTAATCCTCAGACTCCTTGTGCACTCAGCAAGCTATTATCCTAAAAGGAGAGAAAGCAAGGAAAGCTGGTGGTCTTCCATCAGTTGCCACCACCTAAAACCAAGCCTTTTTCTACACTCCTTCCCACGTGGTCCACCAGTGAGGATGACCTAGGCTTTTTTTAATTAAACCACCCAAACTATTTGTTCAACCAGTACAGGCCAATAAATGCCTTGGCTCCTAATCCTGTGTTCACCATGTATCTTTTTCAAAAATGGATAACAGATTAAGAATTGGTCTTCTTCCAAACCCAGTGAAACAGGAACCATGAGAGAAGTGTCTATTTTAATTCATCTTACAGAGTATTTTCTCCAGATGTGATTAAGAACCCAAGCTCTTAAAGGAAATTTCCTTCATCAGAGATGAGCTGTTTGGAGTCATCAAGCCATAGGAGAAGCACCCTGCCAGTAGTTACCTGCAACCAGGCTGCAACTACAACTGAGCTCAAAGACTTCCTCAAGTCTGGCTTTGAATCAAAAGCAGAGGATATTCACCTACCCACGTAGGCACTTTAAGCATCCTAGCAGGCATCTGCTCTTCTCCAAAGCCCAAGCCACAACACTGGCACCAATCATTTACATGGGAAGCAGTGCTTGAACTGCTGTAGTTAACCACCCAGTGCATTAAAGTAGCTTAAAGTCTCCCTTGGTTAACTTGACTAGAGCAGGCTACAAACTGCCTGTGAGGGGATTGCTTTATGCAGCCATCACTGCCACAGAGAAAGCAAATTGTGGAAAGTGGGACAGCTGGGTTTTGTAACCACCTCAGTCATCTGAATTGAACTCGTCTGTGCTTGACTCAACACCCTATGGGACAAAAGAGTATTATTCAATTCTTCATGAACAGCAGAAGCACTTCCAGCACAATGCAGTTAAAAATGGCTTTCATTATCCAAAGCCAAATACAATGTTTTAAATTAAAAACAAGCAAAGAAAACCAACATTGCATAATACAACTAGATTCAAGTGAGCTTGAAAGTAAAACCTTTCATTACAGATGATATCAAATAAAAACTCTAAAACTGAAGCCGCCCCACAGACTTCTAAAAAAAAAAAAGAAAACATAATTAAAAGAACATTTTCAATACCATTAACAAAAACAATGCACTGCCACCAAAATAAATCACTCAAAGAAAGCAGGCTGAGCACTTCCAGTCTCCTCTAACAAACTACCTTCTGCTGCTCACAGACAGCTGTAATCTCACCACAAACACAGTAGTAGTGGTCGCTACTGATAGTCATAAGCTTCACTTGCTATCTGTATTTTAAAGCTATGAGATAATCATGCTGAAGCCCCCTCTTCACCTAATTCTCTA